CGAAGCGGATTGATGAAACTCCTTGAGCAAACTGGGAATAAATTTGGAGTTCTTTGGAATTACTAACCGTCCTTTGTAGTAAAGTATTCCCTTACTAACTGAATACCCCGGATGAGTCTCTGGTTGAGCTTCACAGTCACGCCTCAACTTTCGTATTTCTGAATCTGCCTTATGTTCCGCTATTAACTCAGCCCCTTGCAGCCACAGCGGCGTTGAGAGAATTGTCAATAATCCACCCTCTTCAGCCCTACGAGACAACGCATCAGCTGCTCGGTTTTCCCTACCCGGTTTGTAACAAATTTCAAAGTTGTAACCCAACAATTTTGCCACCCAATTTTGTTGATCCGGGCTAGTGATGCGTTGTTGTAATAAAAATTTCAAACTTTTCTGGTCGGTATAAACCACAAACGAGGTCCCTAAAAGATAGGAATGCCAATGTTGGATGGCTAAAACCAATGCCATAATTTCCCGCTCATAAGCTGATTTGGCCTAGTTTCGATCGCTTAACGCTTTGCTGAAATAAGCGATAGGTTTCTGTTGTTGCATTAACACTGCTCCAATACCCCAGCCGGAAGCATCACACTTAACCACGAAAGGAATGTTGAAGTCGGGAAGGGCCACCAAAGCAGCCTTGACCATAGCTTCTTTTAATCGATCAAAAGCTTCTTGTGCTCCCTTATGCCACGAAAAAGCATCCTTCTTAGTCAGCTCTGTTAGAGGTTTGGCGATACTGCCATAGTTACGGATGAACTTTCTGTAATACCCGGTAAGGCCCAAAAATCCACGCAATCCTTTAATTTGCTTAGGTATCGGCCAAGCCAACACCGCTTCAATATTTTTAGGATCCATTGCAACTCCCTCGCCATTGATAATGTGTCCCAAATACTCTACCGACCTTTGACCAAAAAAACATTTTTTTTCTATCGACAACCAGCTGATTTTGTTCCAGGATTCGTAACACCATCTCTAAGTCAATCAGATGTTGATCCCATGAAGAGCTATAGATTAGGATGTCCTCAAAGAAAACCACCACCATTTTACGTAACCAAGTACGAAAAATGTCGTTCATTATGGCTTGAAAAGTAGTCGGCGCATTCGTGAGTCCAAAAGGCATTACGAGGTATTCGTAATGACCGTCATGAGTACGAAATGCCGTCTTCTCAACACTATCCGGGTGCATACGGATTTGATGATATCCCGATTTCAGATCAAGTTTAGAAAAAAATTGAGCCCCGTGTAATTCGTCAATGAGTTATTCAACCATAGGAATCGGAAATTTATCCGCCACCGTAGCCTTGTTAAGAGCTCTATAATCCACACACATCCTCCACGTTTGATCTTTCTTCCATACTAAAATAACAGGGCTTGAAAACGCACTTTTACTGGGTCGTATCATACCGAGAGAAAGGAGTTCCTGCACCTGTCGTTCAATCTCAGTTTTTTGCACATGAGGATACCGATAAGGACGAACACAGATTGGGTTATGAGGAATAAGGAGAGTAATAACATGATCATGAGTTCTTGCTGGAGGAAGGCCAGAGGTTGTCTGAAAAGCCTTCGGAAACTGACTTAAAAGCAATTGTAAGGCTTTTCCTTGCATTGTGGTTGAATCATTTCCAAAACCCACGTCATTTTCCGGTAGGGAAGAAGTGGCAGCTATTGATCCTTCGGAATTAACCAACCATTGTTGCAGAGAATCAAAGGACCCCTGAGTTACACGCATTCCTTGAAGAAAAACTGGAACCCCATGAAAATTGAATTTCATCCAAGCCTTCTCCCAATTGTGGACCACTTCTCTTAATGTTCTAAGCCAAGCCATACCCAGCACCAAATCCAGTTCTCCAACATCAAAAATCAATACATCCACCGTGAAGTCATGATTTCCCACCAATACTTGGAGATTAAGACATTGTTTATCAACAAGTATTTTATGGCCATCCCCTAATTTGATACTAATTCCCGAACAACAGTTAAAAGGTAGAGCTAAGGATGTTACCAAATGTTGAGAAATGAAATTGTGAGTCGCGCCACTGTCGACTAGGATGGTAACCGGGATATCTCGAATTGCCCCTTCAAACTTCATCATCTTGCCCCCTCATATCACCTCAGTGGAAACCCCAAAATACTCCAAGGCAGCACACATTCCCGACGGAATTTGCTCGTCTCATGTAATGGTTTGTTCGTCGGGAGTCTCTACATATCAGAGGTCCCCCGTAGCCAAAGCATCTTCATCATCGCCCAACAATAATACTCGTAGCTTTCCTTCGGGACACTTATGAGCCGGTCCAAATTGTTGTCCACATCAAAAACATAACCCTTTTTTGCGGCGTTCTTCCCATTCCGTTCGAGTAAGAGAACGATACCCCCGATCCTTTTGATTACCGGAAGAATTGTCGGAAGTCGGATACCCATACGGACGAGAATTGTGAGAGGACTTAGCATTCAATGAACGGTCCATGGACTTAGGATTAAATGGGCCTCTCCCATCTGGGCGGCCCAATGTAAAAAGGCGACCATCCCCTTGACCCACTGGACTAAAACCAGAACCCTATGATACGAAAACGGGAGTGAGACAGGTTACTTGATGACGGACATAGCATCTCTTCGACGTCCTTTGCTAAGTACATCGCATCTAAACGTGACTGAGGACGGTGTAATCGAACCCATTTTTTGACCTCATCTCGTAACCCTGCCACAAAATATCCCAACGCCTGCGCTTCCGGTAATCGAGGAACCAACGATAGAAGGTATTCAAAATCGTCGATATAATCATGGATGGAGGAGGATTGCTTAATGGTAGCAAGCTGTTCGTAAGGATTTTGGATCTCCAAGCCACTAAATCGTTGCAGCAACTCAGTCTGAAATTGCTCCCAAGTAAGTGCCTCATGAACCTGCATGACGATGGTGAACCAATGTTGAGCCACCCCCATCATACTTAATTGTGCCAAACGTAGTCTGAGATGGGTTGGGGTACTGTTGATGTCAAAATACAGATTAGCTTTCTGAATCCATCCCTGAGGATAAAAACCAGAAAACTCCGGTAATTTGACTTTCTTCACTGCCCAAGGTAAACCATCAGCAACTATGTGAGGATTATAGCCACCACCACCAGGTCCTCCGCCGCTGTTGTGAACATCGAAGAAAGGACCCGAAAATTGATCGCCTAATCCCGAACCACTCCCTGAATCCGGAAACAGGTGTTTTCCTTGTTGTTTCATCCATCCCAACATGATCTTATGAAATTCGCTGGATTCAGCCCTATCCACCTCCAACGTCTGCAGAGTGGTTTTGATATCGGAAACATCCGCTCGAATTTGATGAATGAGCTCCTCATGTTGCTCCAGTCGATGTTGAACAGAACGAGTTTCCATCGATAATCGAACGGAAAACAGAAGGAAATGGCAGTCAAGGGCAGGTCGGACCAATGATGGGTAATGATAACAATTCTATGCAAAACAAGTAAGAATACAGAAATGGGAGGAAGAAGATGATGAATTCATTGAACTTGAATCGGACAGAATACAAAGGAATAAAACTCAGGTAAAACCCTCTCTCACAATCAACAGATTGGAGCCTAAACAATTATCAAAGAAAACAGAATACCCACTACAAGATCACCCTCCACTATTTATTCTTCTCTCTCCTCTAACAAACCTCAGCCACTTTTCTCATTTCCCGTTTTACCCCTTCTAGAATACACATGCAATATTCTAGGCTTAGTTGCATCATTTTTAATTAATTCCCAATTCGTATCACATGGCAAGCTGTGTGACAAATGGGTTCTGAATATTTAGCAAGGTTTTGCATGACAAGTTACCTACAGGAAAATTAAGAAGAAAAAAAACCATGTCAGGCTTCACAAATCGTAGAGTATCTTAGGCGTCACCCTAAGATGTTAGTGGCAGGCCGCAGGAGTAGCCTTCCCACAGTCGCATTAAGGAGACTTTTTCTTGAAACTCTTTACTCCAGCCGTGGCAAGCATCCACCAAGGAATAAATTTTGTCTAAAAAGCAATCTTAAAACTTAATTGTCAATGAAGTAGTTTGAACCATATATATACCCCCCCACCCTACAAAACAATGAAAAAACCCCATGTTCCCTATGTGTGATCAAACAATTAAACTAAGAAAAATAATTGAATATATAAATCGAAATAAACTGATGGCACTTGTGTTTCCCGTCATCTCTCCTTGTGGAAGAGTTACCTCTGCTGAATTAAAAGAATCATAGAGCTTTCTAGTCTCTTGAACTCGTCTGCAGTAATCCATGTGCGATTTGTCAGATAGTCTTCATCACTGGCCCAAAAAACTGTCATAACGGCCACATGAGTTGCTACAACCCCAGGATGCAGCTATCAGTAAAACGTTGAAGCATAACTTGATCATTCTTGGAGAAATATTTGGTACACATGACGTACATCAGTTTTAGATTTACAATTATCATTTGTTTCTCAGCATGCAGTTTGTGTACATGGTGTGCAAAGGACTCAATAGTCTCGCTAGTCTATGGGTAGACTCAATAGGGGAACTATAAGTCACTGCCTCACTGGTAGCCTAGAGTTATGACTCGAGGTTTTCGAGTACAGATACGCCACACAACTCCAATGCTGACTCGAAGAAAATTTACTACTTATGTATTGCATAGAACATTCATAGTACTTGTAGTAGTTAGACTTAAGAGTCATATAGCAAGTTGTAGAACATTCATGATATTTGTAGTAGTTAAGAGTCATGTAGTAGAACCGAAAAGCTTCATAATCTAGATGCGATGGAGCTCCCTATAACCCCCTCATTTGAAATCTGTCCAATTTTTTAGAGTGATAAACAATGAACTACAAGTTGGTCTCTCTTGTCTTCTCCATATCTAGTGTTCCCTTTACAAATATTTCTTACTGCAATTGGGCATAAATCTTTGTCGATAAGGCCACAAGGAACATGGAGGAAATAAGTTTTGTGACAAGTGGTTTGACAGCGAGTCATTCCTATTGAAGCCGTGAAGAGGGAAAGCAACAGGAATGTTGCTACTATGCAGAACCTAAAGAAGGATGTTTCTCGTGAGAGATCCAAATATCAATCTCATCCATGGAAACCCATTTGACGACACACAAATCATGCTACTTATGAATGAAATGAGTTCTTGCATTGACAAGTGTTGTAACATATTTCAGGATGCACTTCATTGTAGAACTCCTGATTGGATTGTGATATTTAACGCTTTCTAAGTCAAATGAGCATCAGCTCCATTATTGGGGAAAATTCCTGCTTGTCCTAACCATGCCAAAGTCATTGAGGTTTTCTGCTTTTCTGTTACAGTTGTGGCACCGAGGGTTGTCACATATGTTTCCCTTTGTAACATGTTGTTAAATGCATGAGTTCCGCGTTGAATTATGTAGTCCTTGTAAAGCTGGAGCTCTTAGTAAATATCATTCTGAGGAAAGGATTGTGGCATGGTATCTCATATGGTTGGTCAAAAGGAAAGATAATGTTCTAGTGTTTAACTGCAAACCTATAACATACGTATCTCTCTATTAGATATTGTTGAGATATTTGCTCCTTGGTCCACAACTTTTTAGCCCATCTCTGAATTGTTTAGAGGCTTTCTTTATTTTTCTTTTTACCAGGATGTTTGGTAGGCAACAATTTTTTTTAACATGTTACTAAAACGCTCTCACTTTCATGATAACAGGGGCACTTACACACCTACAGATTCTGTGATAATGTGTGGACCTTCATTGTTCAAGATGCCATTTTCAAGTACGACGAAACCCAGGAGAATGTTGGTCAAGTTAAAATAGTGGCATGTGACTCCAAGCTGCTTACACAGTGATGCATGCTTAGCATTTCACGACTAGTTGCTGAAAAAAGATGGTAGTGATTAAAAGTGTAGAAAAAGGGTATGATAAAAGGGGGGGAGGAGCTCTGTTGTTGTACCTGTTAGAACCTGGCACAGATCAGAAATTCAAATAATCCCATCAGTCCTTACACGTGTAATTCTTCATCATTCTGTGTGAATTGTTGTTCCTGTTTTATGTTGTATTTGGTGTAATAGGATGGAGTAGAAGAAATGTAATGCTGGTCCCTCTGGGCTATGAACCCCTTGGATCTTGTTTTAGTACAAGTTCCTTTTATTTATGCAATCCTTTTGGTTCACCGAACCTTGTTTAAAACCATTGATGTGCTGCAATGCTATTGGTTCATATTGCAGCTCTCTTTCTCATTAGTGTTAGAAAGATGGTTACAAAGCATGGTCATAAACAAGTGGGACCCACAAAATCCAATGAGAAATAAAATACAATGAACATAAATATTTTAAATTTGGATATCTAAGATATTCCTCTCCTCCAGTCATGGAGAAGGCGATTCTTTGCCTAAAATTGAGTCATTCAGGAATACTTTCACCTTCATTCTGCCTTGTAACATACTTCAGCCTGCAGTTTTATCAGATTCTCAGATGTTCAAAGATCAAGTTTGCGTATTCCACCACCTACAGCCCACTATGGCATCCTTCAACTCTGCCAAAAGCACTCGGTTTAAAATTTTTGAACTTGCAGATGGAATGGTACTCCAGGTTAGAACTTTTCATTTGTCATCATATGCCTTCCAAACACATATGTGCACATTTCGACTTTGAAAATCAAAATAGTGCTTTTCATATTTGAAATTGACACGAATATATCACAAATACAACACCAACATTCGTCTGTAATCTGTATGATTATCCAATATAAATTAGTGTACTTGACAACTTTATGTTGAGGATATAAAAGAAGCATAACTTTTATAACAAGTTAAGCCTGTTTGATCTCAGAAGTCAAAGTATATCTCTAATTTTGGAAGTTATGCTCTGTATGAATAGGTTAATGTATCTGGATTTGTAAGTGGCCAACATGCAAAAGTGAAACTTCAACTTCAAAATTGCTCACAAGCATGGATTCTCCACTGGGGTTGCATTTCAAATGGAAACAAGTGACTGGAACATTTATAAAGTTTTTTGCTTTCTTATGAAATTTGGTGGCATGCCCATGTCATTAGGATTTTCTATTTTCTTGCAGAAAATGGTTTATCCCCTCTTCTTATCCTTCTGGGACAACAATTCATAAGAAGACTGCATTGCGTACTCCATTCATAAAGGTTTGTCCTTTATCATTGCCTTGTTGTCCAAACTTCAATGGGTGCTTGTTCTAGCTTCATTACTGATCATTTGACTTGTAGGATGGAGATGCATATGTTGTTGTCATTGAGCTAAGAGACCCTAAGATACATGCAATTGAATTTTTTCTGAAAGAAACCCGACATGATAAAAGGTTTACCTAATCGTTCTTTTATTTATTATATGCTGTTAGGAATGAGCCTTGGAGGGCTAGAAGGTCGCAGGGGAACAATTTTGTTTTGTCAAGATTTAGCCTTCTAACCCTTGCAAAGTTCAGGAGCTTTGTTGCAGCATGGCCACCCTTTACTTTTTATTTTTATATTGTTTTTTTAGTTCTGAGGCATTATAGTTTTGCATTGCTAGGTTGAAGATGAATGGAGCAAACTTCTGCATAAAGCTACATGAAGAAATTGTTGTAAGTATCTCTATTTTCAATTTTTTCCTAGTATCCAGATTGGAAACAGCCTCTCTACTCTCTGGATATTGGCAAGGTCTGCATACATCCTAACCCCCACCCATCCTACCTCTGTGTGGGATATACTGGGTTGGTTTGGTTTGGTTTGGTTTGGTACTTCCTAGTATTTAGATTATGATCATATGTCATCTTTGCAGGTTGAACATGATGCTGCTGGAAATGCTAAATGCTTACTCAATGAAATGCCTCATAAAGGGGAGGTTGAGAAGCTATTGAAACACAGGTTCATTTTTAACATTAACCTAAAGAATATGTGAAGTTTGAGTTGTGAGTCGATCCTTGTGTGACTATCATCTTTACTTCTGAATGCGGATGTAGGCTAGGTAAGCTAGTTTGTGAGAGTCTGTCGTCTCACCAAAGGCTTTGCTAGCCTGAACCTGCCCATCTGACTGTTTGAGTCGAGCTCAAACCTAGAGGGCTTGGGCATGTTAGGTCGACTAGCCTAAATGAGTGTTGAGCCTGTACGATACGAGTATATGCAATTCATTAGTGTAATATGTAATATTTAATTAATCATCAACTCCTTCCAAAAATCAATTGGATGTATTTTATTTGAAAGGCCTAATTTTGATTTTATGCAAGCATACGAGCCCAAACATCTGCTGGATTCCTAGGTCGGGTCCACATGGGACACACATATGTTGTGTGATATGGGTGTCCCAACACCTGGAACGTTACAAATTTTCCAAATTCCAAAGCAACTGTGAAACATGATTGGTGTCATCAACTATAGGAATTTTTTACTTAAATATGTACATGAAGCTTTAGCGCATCTCATATACTAAGATGGTTTTATAACTGCTGAAGGGGCATTATTTCTTGATTTTCTCCAATTTTAACATTTCCTTCAATTGACTGAGACATCTGCAGCTCCACTTTCTTCCCGAAACCCTCTACCTCTTCCTCCATTTGGCAAGGTCTTTCCCGAAAGAACAATACTTTCAGCAATATGTATGCTATGTCACTTGAAGAAGCCCATAATGATATGGTAATTGCTTCAGCTTGTTTATATTTTATATTTTTCTTTGAATTTGATTTTGGTCAGGTAGCACAATAGTAACTAGAAGAAAGATATGAGTTCTATTGAATTGAATTTTACTTATCTCTGCTGTATTTTTCTGGAGTTGCACTTGACAAACAGATAACACGATCCCTTAGGTCCATGAAAATTGCAACAATTTCCATTTTGGGACGTCAATGTCCCAAGAAAATTACAACTTTTTGGTCAATCTTCAAGTTAAAAATTACTTTCTCCTATTCTGATCATTACTAATTATTGATTAAATTGATTTGAGTCCCAAGATTCTCTTATTTTTGTTACTACTGAAAGGTATTTTAGACATTTGGCTAGCCTTTAAACACTTCTATTGAACATGGAGAGTTAGATATTTCAGTTATCATGGGAAAAAGGGAGTATGTTTATATGCATAGTTGTAAACCAGCAACTCGACTCAACTTGTTCTAATAAGTGTCATAGAACTTCTTGATTGAGATCGTTATTTACTGATATGTGTCCATAAGAAAATGGAATGATATGGGTAGAATATTGTAATACAGGTTGGTGAAAAGTCATACAGGATTAGATTCTTGAGTAAACAGGTACCAGCATGGATAAGATTTCCAGCATCAATTGTCATACCTTTTGGAGTCTTTGAAAAGGTTCTATCAGAAGACATAAATAAGGTATGCATCATTATATTCATGGAAATTCTGTGTGGGCCTTTTTGCCCAGATTATTTTATTGGTATCAGTGAAATCAACTAGATCATTACAAATTGAATCTTTAGCATAGATGGAGCAGTTCATTTCTCATTTCTATAAACAATCTTTTTCATCTTGCTCCCTTTCTTCTCACTTTATATCTTTATTCAGTCTCTTGTTAGTAAAGCTTATATATTAGTACACTAATTTCTTCAGGAAGTAGCGAAGAAAATGGCTTCCCTTCATGAACATACAAATACGGGAGACGTTTTGAAGCTCAAGACAATCCAAGAAACTGTTTTGCAAATGAAAGCTCCTCGTAAAATGGTAATTCAGTAATAGTATCTGCTTATTGAATTAAAATTATGTGTTAAATTCTCTCCTTGAATGTTATATTTGCAGAACCATTATGAATTTACCTGTTTAGAATTGACATCCTCACTTTGTTTCATGAAACAATGCAATAGTTTCCAATTTGATATGTCTGATGTTAATTGCAAAATGTTCTTTTTTGAAAAAGGTTCCGAGATGAAATGACCTTTTTACCCTTATGTTGGTTTCTGGTGGAAGTAATAGACAAATTCCTGATAAACTTTGAATTTTGTATATTTGGAGAGCATTGAGGTGAGAAAGAAAATGAAGAGTTCTAGAATACCATGGCCTCGAGGTCTTGGGGAAGATACATGGGACCGAGTTTGGCAAGCAATCAAGGAGGTATTGTTCTCCCCCTCTTCCCAAAAAGTAGGCTGAGTTGACTTTGAAGTCAAACCTATGAAATTTTAAATCAGAGTGGGATGGCCTTACTGTAAAAGTACCAATATTATCTTCTTGTATAATTTGTAATGAAAATACCAAGAAAGATGTACGGTCTAATGAGGCTACTATAAAATATTTACTCATGGGTGGGGAAAGTTCTTCTATTCTGGTTCATGGTTTCTCTTCTTGGGAAGGGCAGATCTAATATTTTTTGTTTATAATTAATGAATTGTTGAAATTAATCGATCCCATGTTAAATTTATTTTTGCTTTTTGATAACTTTCTGACTTAATTTCTGAGAATGATTAAATGAGTTTCCGATACTTGTCCAGGTTTGGGCTTCTAAATGGAATGAAGGAGCATATATCCCAAACATGAATCATGATAAACGAGGCACCGGTATTTTGATTCAAGAACATGTTCGACCTGATTATGCCTTTGTGACATACACAAATCATCCCGTGTCTCATGATTCCTCACAGATATACACAGAGGTAAGCATCGAGTCCTCATCTTTTTTACATCCACAAAATCTTGTAAGCCATTTTTCGATATGGTTGGATATTCTCTTATTACGTCCTTGCTTTTTGTCTCTTTTTTGGAAATAACCAAACAAACCTAGTAGATCCGAGTAAAAAGTAGGGTCTGGGGTGGGATGTACAAGACTCCTCCTCCACCCCAAAGGGTAAAGTGGTAGTTTCTATGAAGACTCCCGACTTGTGTAAAAAGGTTGAATGAATAGGCAAGAACAACTAAGAGTCTTACTCGGTAAGTGAGGATGACGACTTGATATGAATCAATTGGCAAAAATTAAGATTAGCAGCCAAAAGTACCAGTAATCGGATGCTTATTAGAATAAACCCTGGAATTCGAGACCCAGTAATCTCCAATGTCTACGACAAGAATAAAAAATACTAGAATGAATCAAAACAATGGGGTGGCCGGTCCCTTAAATAAGCCGTACCCTAATCCTCAAAAATAGGAAACATACTTATCCTAAGTAACTAATTAATAACTTTCCTAATCAATTAATTAAGAATAAGGAAATTGCGAACATCCCCCGTATTAAACTTGATATTGATTTGTATTGATTGAAAAATAATAATAATCTGATACACCTTATATAGGTAAAACTAATTACACTTTGGACCCTAGACAATATTAATAATATAAACTAGACTAGTTGACTTAGTCTAACACCCCGAGTTGGGTTCACGTGAGACCAGCCTGTTTTCGTGAGACCCGTGAGACCACATTTTTACACGTAACCTTCACAGCAAAAACACTGTGAAGGTTTAAAAAAAGACGAACCTTCACAGCAAAAACACTGTGAAGGTTTTAAAAAGTCACCTTCACAGCATTTTGCTGTGAAGTTTCAAGTGTAAAATGTTGGTCTCACGGGTCTCACGAAAACAAGCTGGTCTCACATGATCCCAAGTCAACATCCCCCTCTACTTGTTTCCTGCCTCTCTTTTGCGACGCTGATATATCCGACCCCAGTGTGGGTCAGGCTGAGACGTATCATTACTCCCGCCCCGAAAACTCACCTTGTCCTCAAGGTGAAAGGCAGGAAACAGCTCTACCACCTGATCCATCAGCTCCCATGTGGATTCCTCACGCGTTAAGCCCTCCCATTGAATCAGAACTTCCAAGCCTTGATCACCTTTACAAGTCCCGAGCACATCCATCGGACGACAACCCATCTTCATACCTTCATCTAGACCTGCAGGCAGCTCCAGTTCCACCCGTTCGTCTCCTATCGCCGCTTTCAGCTGCGACACATGGAACACCGGATGTATGGTCGACGATGGCGGCAGTTTCAATTTATAGGCAACCGCTCCCACCCTTTCCAATACTTCAAAGGGTCCGTAAAACCGTGGAGCCAACTTCATATTAGCCCGATGAGCCACCGAATCTGTCTGTACGGCCTCAATTTCAAGTAAACCCGGTCACCCGCTTGAAAACAAACATCTCTCCGCTTGCCATCCGCATGAGTCTTCATGATTTGCTGGGCCCGATGCAACTGTACCTTAAGTTCCGTTAGCACCTCATCCCGTTCCCGTAAATAGCGGTCCACCTCAAAAGTAGTCGCCGCCCCCTGATCATAACCCAAAATACTCGGAGGATCCCGCCCGTATAACACCTTGAAGGGTGTCGTGCCAATCGAAGAATGGAAAGAAGTGTTATACCAATATTCTGCCCATGGTAACCAATGTGTCCATTGCTTCGGTTTTGAGGAAGAAAAACATCGCAGATAAGTCTCCAAGCCACGGTTAACCACCTCTGTTTGCCCATCCGTCTGGGGTGGTAAGCTGTACTCCTCTTAAGGAGCGTCCCCTGATATTTGAACAACTCTCGCCAGAAGTGGCTTATAAACACACGATCCCTGTCGGACACAATCGATTTAGGAACCCCGTGCAACCTCACAATTCCACGGATAAACTCTAYTGCCACCRAGGCCGCTGTGTACGGGTGCTTTAGCGGAATAAAATGGGCTGATTTACTAAGCCTGTCCACCACTACCATTATTACACTRTACCCCTCTGACTTTGGTAACCCATCGATGAAATCCATCGTTAAATCTTCCCAGATACGATCAGGTAAGTCAAGGGGCTGAAGTAGTCCTGCCRGTGCCAAGTTTGAGTACTTGTTTCGCTGGCAGACATTACATTCTGAAATCATTTTAATAATGTCCCGCCGCATACCAACCCAATACACTTCCGTCGCCATCCGTTGGTATGTCTTTTGTGTACCTTCATGCCCCCCCTCGCCCCGCAATGCATCTCCTGGAACAACCGTGGTATCCATCCCGAAGTACGAGAAATAACCAATCACCCCTTGTATCGCACCTGCCCATCCTCCACAGTATATCCTTCCAGCCCGTCCTCCCCGTTCGTAATGCGTGAGCGGAGGTGAACTATTTTCGGATCAGAACGGTTAGCATCTAGTAAATCTTCATCAGTACTAACCCGTGACACGGTCAAGCTACTCACCTTGATTCCCGTTCCTCGACGCGACAGTGCATCGGCAACCCCGTTCTCGCTACCCAGTCGATATATAATCTCGAAATCGTATCCCGACAGCTTAGAGATCCACTTTTGATGTTCACCCGCGACCACCCTCTGCTCCAACAAATATTTCAGGCTCTTTTGGTCGGTGATAACCATAAAACGGCGGCCCAGTAAATACGGTCTCCATTTCTGCACGGCCATCACAATAGCCATTAATTCCCTTTCGTAGACCGATTTAAGTTGCGCCCTCGGGCCTAAGACTTGGTTGAAGTACGCGACCGGCTTACCGTCCTGCATCAACACTGCCCCTACTCCCTGCCCGGAAGCGTCCGTCTCTATAGTAAAAGTCTTCGAGAAATCGGGTAGAGCCAAAACGGGCACCTTAGTCATGATATTCTGCAAGTTTCGAAAAGCCTAGGTGGCTTTTTCGGTCCAGGAATCCGTGTAATTCTCGTATATTCTTCGGAATGGGCCACTCGGTCATGGCCGTGATCTTGGACGGGTCCGCCATCACCCCGTTGCTAGTAACAATATGGCCCAAATAGTCAACCTGGGTCTGCCCGAATACACATTTCTTGTGGTTACAATAAAGTTTCTCCTTCCGCAGGCAATCAAATACCGTAAGTAAATGTTTCTTGTGTTCGTTCATGTTTTACTGTGGACTAGAATATCATCAAAGAAAACTAATACGAACCGTCTCAAATAAGGTCGGAAAACGCGGTTCATTAGCGACTGAAAGGTGGAGGGTGCGTTAGTCAACCCAAAGGGMATGACTAAAAACTCGTAGTGGCCCTCGTGTGTCCGAAAGGCTGTTTTATGTACGTCGCTCTCCTTCATTCTTATCTGGTGGTAACCGGATTTTAGATCAAGTTTACTAAATACCGCTGCACCGTGCAATTCGTCCAATAATTCATCTATGACTGGTATCGGAAACTTATCCAACACCTTTGCTTTGTTTAAGGCTCGATAATCGACACAGAAACCCAACTACCGTCTTTTTTCTTTACTAAAAGAACGGGGCTTGAAAACGGGCTAGTACTCGGTCGAATTACCCCTGCCTCAAGCATTTCCTCGACCAATCGTTCAATCTCGTCTTTCTGCAGTTGGGGATATCGGTAGGGTCGTACGTTAACGGGTTCCGTGTTTCCTTTGAGAATAATAGCGTGTTCATGGTCCCTTGACGGTGGTAAAGCTGTAGGTAGCACAAACAGATCAGAGAAATCTGCTAGTAAGGAGTCAAGTGCCGTCGGTACCTGAGTTGCTGCCGCCATCTCATCAATACTCGCCAGGGACACCAAGTAAGTCTCGCTGATATCTGGTATAGCACGGGCTAGGGACTGAAGTGACGCCTCAGCCCTTCGCAGTCCGGGTTCCCCTCGCAAAGTGACCCGCTCCGTGCCATTCATAAAAGTCATGGTCAACTCWCGCCAGTTCACCCGTGTATCCCCCAGTTTTCGTAACCACTTCACCCCCAGTATCACGTCCGTGCTGCCCAACTCGAGGGGATAGAAGTCCTCGATCACCCGCAACCCCGGTAAAGACAATCCTACATTCCGACAAATACCATAACACATATCCGTCTTCCCGTTGCCCATGGTGACGCCTGTCTCCCTCCGCCCCGTAACCCGTAGCCCCAACGGTTCGACCAACCGTAGGGACAAAAAATTGTGGGTTGCCCCACTGTCAATTAGTACCACCACCTCGGATCCTTGTATATTACCGCGAAGTTTCACCGTATGGGGAGATGTCATGCCCACCACTGAATGTACCGTCACCTCCACCGCATCCAAGTGCACGTGAAATTCTGGTGTTGCCTCTTCCCCCTCGTCATCATCATCCATTAACATGATCCGCAGAGCCTTTTCGGGGAAACGGTGTCCGGGAGTGAACTTTCCGTCGCATCGAAAACATAAGCCCTTAGCCCGTTTATCCGCCAGTTCCGATTGTTGTCTGTTACCCCCTATTGCCAGTCTTTTGGTTCCTGTTGGTGGGGCAGCTAGTAGCCGTGAGCCCCCCCCCCCCCCCCCCCCC